TCTGTAGGGGGTGAATTATTATCCCAGTTTTACAAGAAAGAAATCTAGAGGGCTTGGTTTTTCCCAAGGTCACAGAGCAAATAATCTAACTACAGATAGAAGCTAGAATCTTCTCTCTCTCAGAAGTACTCTCAAATTTTACCCCCAGCTATGCTGCCCCAATCCTTAGGACATTTTGCTGAGAAAGCTCAATAGTTGTTTCCTGGTTAGGCCAGGTAGTAGCCCCATGGTACTAGCCATTAAACCCTATACTGCAAGCAGATGGGGCCTGTGGGACCAGCCTGCCACTCCCTTAACTCAGCCCTAACCCAACCCAGGCCCACTCAGTGCACACACATGTCTTCCAGGATTTTGCCACTGAAGGCCTTCGCACCCTCATGGTGGCCTACCGAGAACTGGATAATTCATTCTTCTATGCCTGGAGCAAAAAGCACAATGAAGCCTGCTTGTCTTTGAAGAATCGGGAAAATAAAATATCAAGTGTCTATGAAGAGATCGAAAAAGACTTGATGGTTAGTGTAAGGAAGCTGGGAACAAACTGGGGGCACGATGCGGGACAGCAGTCAGTAGACTGAGCAAGGGCTCTGAGAGTGGCTTCCAGTAAATCAATAGGTTCAGGCTCTCTCTGGATACTGGATACTGGAATCCAAGCTGATTCAGGATATCCTGGGCCTTTGATATCCATAAATAATGAAAAAAATACACTGGTTATAAGTTCCATCTTTCTGGCAGTTTTTCTTACCCCAAAGCTGCTCACAGAAACAATGTAATCTGGGAGGAATCAGGATCTGAATAACACAGAGATTAGATACTCCAGAACTAATTGATGAACTAATTAAGACAAAAATATTCACTCATTTATCTGATGTATTTATTAAGTGCCTCCTACGTGCCAGGCACTGTTTTAAGCACTGATATATATAGCAGTAGACAAAAGAGACCAAAAAAGTAACATATATAGTATGCTAGATGATGAAAGTGCTATGGGAGAAAATAAAATGAAGCCTGGAAGAGAGCTGGGGAGTATCAGCATATGCGTGTGTCTTTTGGAAAGGGCAAAGCATAGTTGCTGTTTTAAATAGGCTGCTTAGTGAAGGAGACATCTGAGCAAAGACCTCAAGAAGGTGGCAAGCCAAGCGGATCTCTGGAGGATTAGCTTTCCAGACAAAAGGAGTGGCAAAAGCAAAGGCCCTGAAACAGGAGCAGGCCTAACTTGTTAATTGAACAGCAAGGCAGCTAGGGTAGCTGGTACAGTGTAACTAAGGAGGACAGAATAAAAGGACAGGAGACAGAGAAGGAGTAAGAGGGTCCTGTAGGCCAATAAGGACTTAGAGTGAGATATGGAAAACAACTGAAGAGTTCAACCTGAGAAGTGATGAAGCTTTTTGAGTGATCTGTCTGGCTGTCATGTTGAGATTATACTATAAGGGAGCAAGCACAGAGCTGGGGAGCCCAATTAGCAGGTAGTTGCAGTAATACAGTTGAGAGATGATAATGGCTTGAACCAGATAGAAGTAATGGAAGTGGTGAGGAATGGTCAAATTCTGTATATTTTTTCAAGATAGAGCCAACAGAATTTGCTGATGGATTAGATTATAGTATATAAGAAAAGAGAAAAGTTAAGCATGACCCCGGAGTTTTTGACCGGACTGGTTCTGCTGTGAAAATAGAAGTTACTGATACCAAATGGGAAAATTTAGAGATCACAAAGACCACAAATCTCCTTCCATAGCCAGCTCTGTGGTATTTCTAGACTGTTCTTTTAGAGGCCTAGCAGAAGCCAGTCAATAGTTTCTCAGTTACTCAGACTGTCCTGGCCCCCATCCCTGGAGTCAGCACTGTTGGGGTATCATAGAGAGAAAGCATGGTGCTGGACCAAGATGCTTTTACTCTAGTAATTTCCCTTTTCAGAGGAAAAGGCCTTGAAAACCTTAGAGGGCCCCAGTAGATACGAACAAATGAAGTTCATCCCAGCTCTTATAGGGTTGAAAGAAACACTGGAATGAGATGTGGGACATCCCTTGTCTGGGGATCCCTTTTGGAGACCAAAGCCAAGAAGTGTGCTATGAAGCAAGGGAGAAGTGAAAGTGTGTCGAAAGACAGATGGTTTAGATGTGGCACACAGCGTCATGTATGACTTGGGCAAGCCTTTTCCCTCTTTCGTCCCTAATATTCTGTGTTTCCAAATTTGATTTCAGTGTGTGGTTGAAAAGCTGCATCTGTTACGAGGCAGTATGTGCTGAGTTTTATACCATTGGGGTGCTCATGCCAGGACAGCACCAGCTTACTAAAGGATGCTGAGGTGCCAGTTGAGTTGTTGGGTAGCACTAAGTGCTGTGACTCTCTCCTTTTTCCTGACTCCTTGATATCTCTGTTCCAAGCTGTTAGGGGCCACAGCCATAGAAGACAAGCTGCAGGACAGAGTACCTGAGACAATNTCCTGCCAGGTGAGCTGGTGTACCAGGCTCAGTCCCCAGATGAAGGTGCCCTGGTCACTGCTGCCAGGAACTTTGGCTTTGTGTTCCGTTCCCGTACATCTGAGATAATCGTGGTAGTCGAAATGGGGAAAACCAAAATCTACGAACTGCTGGCTATTTTGGACTTCAGCAATGTGCGCAAGAGGATGTCTGTTATTGGTGGGTGCCCCTTTTAGTCGGTCCTCCCCCCTTATTTGTCATTCATACGCATTCACACATTGACTTTCTCTTTAACCTACACACAGATGTTTTCTCCCCTTCACATGCCTTCTCACAGGTGTTGTGTCTCAAATACAAACACACAGCCATTCCCACTTTCTCTGTCACATATATTTTTATTTTCTGTTTTTAAAGCTGAGCCATCCTGCCTCACCTGTTGGCAGCTCAGCGGCTGCTCAGCTCGGGCCGGCAATCGAACCACTGTTGCTCAGAGCTCAAACTCTTGAGCGAGCTCTTAACCAACTGAGCCACTCGGTCGGCCCTGTATTTTCTTTTATACACAGGGGTGGTGGGGGCTTGCTACCATGTGCTAGAACCCTCCTTTAGCATTCCTGAGTAGTGTCTTGTAAGAACCCTCAAAGCTAAGAACAGAGAATAAATCCATAGAGCCTGAACTTGGAGTAAGAGATGAGGGCAGAAATATAGGGGAAATTCATACTGTCTTGCTCTCAATGTGTTTGGGTCATTCTTCATCCTTGGTCCTTACTAGGTGTGGGCCTTGGTATAGAACTTGAACTTGAGAAGCTAAAAGTGATCCTGCATCAGAGACTTCCACAGCTGATATTGAACCCATGGAAAAACTGGTTCCATAAGGTCCTCTCTCATTCTCACCAGCCTTCACCACATCACTTATCATATGTAACCACTCATTGAGTGTTTAGCCCCCAAAGGTATCAGAAACACATGTCATGGAAACAGCCTCCTGCCATCCCTCAGTGGCCCAGACAAGTTTCTCGTAACAATGGGCCTGTATGGTTACTTTGCTTAATTTGCTTATCCTTAGTGAGGACACCTGAAAATCGGGTAATGTTGTTCTGCAAGGGTGCAGACACTATCCTCTGCCAGCTGCTTCATCCATCCTGTAGAGGCCTCAGAGATGTGACCATGAAACATTTAGATGTAAGTGTTTAGGTTGCAGGGGAGGGAAGCTGTGGGTGGTTCCATGTATCTGCATATGTGTCCCTGTGTCAGTGTGTTTTTTTATGCGTGTATATTGGTGTCTGTGTCTCTTTAATTGATGGAAGAATAAAAACTTCCTCATTCTGTGGGATTCTCACTGATCAACATTGCCAACTTCTGTGTCAAGGAGTTGGATGGCACAGGACCCCAGGGGCATGACAAGGATTGTGTCTGTGGCAGCATTTACCACAGTCGGAATAGTTCTCTCTATGATTTCTGGCTCAGGAGGTCCTATGGTCAGACCTAGAATTTGCTTCAGAAAAGGGCCTGCTGGTACGGGAGGCCCACCCCACCAGCCATGATAAGAACGATTGTTTTTAGGAGTACAAAACACCGGGCCTGGGCTGTTTAGGGGACTGTTTGATACCGTCCTCTGATACTACAGGATTAGAATCCCCAAGAGTACCTCCCCGCTACCTACCCCACACTACTTCCACCCCCTCGGATTTGAACTATATCGGAAAGAAAGAGTGGCACCAGTCTGCTGGCACTAAACAGGAAAACCAGATCCATATTCTCTAGGGTTTCTACCTTTCTACCTGGATATATAGGGTTGGGAGAATAAGACAAGGAATGGGATGAGGAAGAGGCAGATCAGGAAAGTATTTTAAAGAATAAATAGATTGGTGAAGATGTTATTTTGTTAGGCCATTTTGGCTTGACTCTACATTAACACATAGTCAGAGAACAAATGGCCAGTAAGCACACACACGAAAAATGCTCAGTGTCATTAGCCATCAGGGAAATGCAAATCAAAACCATAAGGTACTACTTCACACCACTAGGATAGCTAAAATAGAAAAAGATGACCAGACAATAAGTATTGGCAAGGATATAGTGAAATCTTAACCTTCATCCATTGCTGATGGGAATGTAAAATGATGCAGCCATTTTGGAAAACAGGCTGGCAGTTCCCAAAAAAGTTTGGCCTTTAGTAATCATCAGATGACCCAGCATTTCCACTCCTAGGTATATTTCCTGGAGAAATGAAAATATACATCCACACAGAAACTTGTACATGAATATTTATAGCAGCATTATTCACTGTAGCAAAGAAGTAGAAGCAACCTAAATGTCCATCAATGGATGAATGGATAAATAAAACGTGGTGTATCCATACAATGAATTAATTACTCAGTCACTAAAAGGAATGACATACTGATACATGCTATAGTGTGGATGAACCTTAAAGACATTGTGCTAAATGGAAGAAGCCAGTCACAAAAGGCCACGTATTATATGATTTCATTTATAGGAAATGTCTAGAACAGGCAAGTCTATAGAAACAGAAAGTAGATTAGTGGTTGCCAGCGGGTGGGGAAAAGGGAATGGGAATGACCGCTAATGGGTATGGCGTTTCTTTTGGGGTGATGAAAATGTTCTGGGATTAGATAATAATGATGGTTGGTTGCACAGTTAAGGGTATCATTTTTTGAAAATACTGAATTGTACACTTTTAAAGGCTGAATTTTATGGTATGTACATTATATCTCAAGTGTCTTAAAAAGTCATTGAAGTGTCCTAAATGGGATGGCTCATGTCTTACAATGGTTCCCAGAGGCCACAGTATTTTTTGTCCTAGTCTGAAAACTCTCATCTTTTAACCTTTCAGAACACATGAATTAGGTATCTTCTCAGAGAGCATTTCCACAGACTGGCTTCAAAGGGGGTCATAAAACTGTTTTAGATCTTTCAGCCTGCTTCCTGCTACCAACCTTAACAGATACCAACAGTGGAGCCTGACTACAACAGTGGTATGTTAACCACTGATGATAAACCTATGAGTCAAGCTCCAAAAACCCACTCATGCAGAAGCATAGCTCCAGGCCCTCTAAGATAGAGATCAGCAGGTCATACAAAAACAAGTGGCACAGGGATATGAAAGACAGTTCAGGTAATATAATTAATAATGTTGTAAATATTTTGTAGGGTATCAGATGGACACATGTCTTGTTAGGGCGACCACTTCATGGACAGTGTAGAGGCTTGACCACTGCACTGTACACCTGAAGCTGACATTGAATAATATTGTATGTCAACTATAATTTTATATATATATAGTCACAGGATGTGGAATATAGTGTGGGAATGGAGTCAATGGAATTGTAATAGATATGGGGGGGTGGATTGGGGGAGGGAGGTTGTCACTTTGTGAGGGGTGGGAAGTATAACTATTGCATTGTTTTGTACACCTGAAANTAATGGAGCGATTAAGAGGTTGGGCTCTGGAACTGGTTCAAAACCTGTCTCTCCTAGTTAGTAGCTATGTGACTTTAAGTAAAATACTTCTCCACTTTTAATATCAAGTTCCTCATCTATTATTAAAAGAGGGGGATTTTCAATATTAAATTAAATAATATATGTAAAGTACTTACCACAGTTCCTGGCACTTAATTAATAGTTAATATGTTTTAGTTACTATCATCTCCCTTCAAAATCTCAAGGATAGCTCCCATTGGGCTGTCTTTTCTGTCCTGTGTACTACTGCCTGGAGCCTATGAACTACAGGCCCCCCCTGCCCTCCAAGAAGAGAGAGAAGCTTTGTTGAGAAATAAGGCTCCAAAAGGTAGAACTGAAGCAGCATATGCCTGGGATGAAATGTTAATTTAATTTTTGTTGTTGTTTTTCTCTAGATTTTCCTGCTTTTAGGTGGCATATGTTTTGTCCTAGCAATTGGGCATGGCATTTGGGAGAGCAGAAAAGGCTACTACTTCCAGAATTTTCTGCCGTGGAAAGAATATGTCTCTTCATCATTTGTCTCTGCCGTCTTCATATTCTGGTCCTACTTCATTATTCTCAACACCATGGTGCCTATTTCCCTCTACGTCAGGTAGGCTTCTTGGGTCATTTGGGGTTACAGGTAGAGCAACTGACTTCATACTTCCTGCTTAATTCAACTCTTAGAAAGCATGCACTGTGTGCTCTTTAACTCACTACTTTCCACAGTGCCTGGTGTACAAAACACTCTGAGAAGTATCTGAAGATTGCGTAAATCGTTTCTATAACAAGAACACTGTGCTAGGTACTGTGTGGGTTATACAAAAAGAAAATTATCCCTGCCCTCAAATAGCTTATAATGTCAGTGACTAAATAAGACATANCCTTATAACCCAGGTCGAGCCCTTACAGGACAGCTGCATTCCCCCTTGACATACAGCTTGCTAAGCGTATACTGTATGCCAGATGCTGTATTAGGTAGGCATTGAGAACACAAAGGTGAATCAATCCAACATGACCTCTGTCATCCAAGAACTCACAAGCTAAAATTTTATCATTGTCTTTGACTGTACCCTCTCTATTGTTCCAAAGATCCAGTCTCTCACCGTGTCCCGACAATTCCTCTGAAAATCCTCTTGACTGTGCCACCACCTTCATTCAGCCTTTATTCCCTGTCGACTGTAATTCTGCAAAAACTTCTGAACTGACCTATTGCCCTCATTCATTTCAGTACAGCCTACAAACAACCATCAGTTTAATCTTCCTGAAATATACCATTGGGTTGTCGGAAAAGTCACGACACATTTTTGCAACAAAAAACATAGAACAAATACGTCAAGACTTTTCCGACAACCCAATAGTTTTATGATGTTACTCTCTGCTCAGGCACCTACCGCGACTCCACGTGGCAGTTGGACTCCACTCTCTGGCCTTCAAGACCTTGATAATCTGTCGCTGCCTACACATCCTTATCTCTATCCTAAAGTGACCATTATCTTCAATATGTCCCAAAGCAAAGCAAAGCAATTCTTATTCTAGGGCTTCTGTTTCGGTTGTTTCCCTCTTTGAAATGTTTTTTCCTTTCCCTAAACAAGTCTTACTCACCCTCAAGGTCTTTGTCCAAGAAAGTTTCTATAACAATTGCAGTATCTCCTCTGACTATTGATACTACTTGCAGCCAGGGTTCAGGACCTAATTTTTAAAAAATTTTTTCCTTTAGTATGAATTTATTCCAAATTCCAGATTTCTTGATGTAAAGGAAAGACTAAAACCTAAGCATATCTCAGTCTCCCATAAACACTAGCATAGAAATGAGCACAGTTCTGTTCAAAGAAATTCATCCCGATTGTCTGGAGAAGTGGATACAGACTGGAATTGCTTTAAGAAACAGGGGAAGGCTTTCTAGAGAAGACTTAAGCCAGGATGATCCTAGTTACTGATAAATAACTCACAAGTCTTTACCAAGTTGACAGGCTCTTGTGAATATTTGAATATGGTCTCCATTGACTCAAGAAAAATACACTTTGACTGCATCCCTGGCCAATGTGGACAAATGGGCTCTGCAGCCACTGTTACTGCCTGTATACCAGCACACTGTGAAGACACCCTGTCCTGGCCAAAATGTGACCTGTGTTCCTTCTTTCCTGCAGAGACTGCTGTGAACATCGCCTATGCCTGTAACATATTTGAGAATGGAATGGATGGGCTGTTTTTTGTGGAAGGCACGGATGTTGAGACTATTCAGCAAGAACTCAGGTACAGATGGGAGAGCTGCCACAGCCCATCCCTGGACTCAAGATTTCTCATTCATCTCTTCACCCAATATGGCCCCATACTACCAGAAGGAACAGAGAAGAAATGGAGGAGAGGAAAACAGAAAACCTTAAGTATTTGAGAGAATTTTGTGAAGAAGCATTAGAGCTCAAAGAGTTGGAGTATGGGGAGTATAGAAGTGTGGTGTGTGGATGGTCAGGGACCTAAGACAGTGGCAGGTCTCAGGAGGCCGTCAGGTCTGAGGTCCTGGCTGGTGCTCTGCAGAGATTCTATACCCACCTTGCCCACTTTCACTCTGGGACACATTTTCCTTCCTAAACTCTGGGGCTTCGGGTCAGACACTAACCACTACTCTTGGCTTTCAGGTCAGCAATAGACAAGATGAAACCCCAGCCTCTACTGGAATCAGACCCAATGAACAATTACTTCACCACGAAGCCCACAATGCCTTTCAGAATACCCGAGGAGGTGCCCAATGGCAACTATGGCCTGATCATCAATGGCTACAGTCTGGTGGGCAACACAGAGCTATAGTTCTGTTCTCTTCTTCCAAGGAACTTTTTTCCTATGTCCAACCCACTTCAGGGAAATTTCAAGGCCCATGAGTAGCCCTGTTCCTCCTCCCCCCAGGTGCCTTTGCCTGACAAACACCTTTCTCAAGACTTCCCTAGGCAGGAATAATGAGAAAAGAGAAGAAGCCAAGGGCATATTCCTTCCTTATCCAAAATGTTCACTATTGATGTGGCCTGTCACTTAGGGGAAGGGGGAAGTGAGCAGAACCATGTCCTCCAAAAAGTCACTTGGCCTTATGGCCCAGTCAACTGACTTGACTCAGGGAGAGATTCTGACCGGTTTCCCACTGGAGACTGGGTCAGATGCGAGGATGCCTAGAGCTGACTCGGGGTTTTGGCCTCGNTATGAAAATAAAAATGAAATAACATATTAAAGCAATTAATAAATTATGGCATGATATAAATATGCAAGTGATTTTTTATTATTAGTTCAGTGGTCAGCATGGAGACATCTGTCTTTAGAACATCAGTGGATTCTGACGTACCGTATTCCCCATGTATAAAACGCTCCCATGTATAAGACGCACCTTAATTTTGGGGCCCGAAATGTGAAAAAAATGTATTACATAAAGTTGTTGAACTCAAGTTTTAGTCATTATAAAATTCATACAACTCCTCACCGCTTGTGGGAAATGCAAGTAAAAAATCTACAACCACTGTATAAGACGCACCCAGTTTTTAGACCCCAAATTTTTCGAAAAAGAGTGCATCTTATACATGGGGAAATATGGTAGCTTATTGGCCATTTTTCTCTAGCCTTTGGCCAGGCCATCTTTTGTTAACAATGTCAAAAATGTATTGGCCTTGACCCCATTGCTGTGGTATTTGGTCGTAGCTATCTAAAGTGTTAGGTCAATGTTTATATTTGGTGGAGTCCTGCAGCATTTGAGCAATGTACCTTTGGCAGAAATGGAGGGAGGCAGGCATAATTCCTATATGAGGCAAAATATGAAGACTGTCATAAAAGGCACAAAAAACTTACAGGAGTTAATAAAAATGAGCAATCATAGCTGGTTAAAGAAATCAAGGAAGACTTTCTGGAGGAAGTGATGTTTGTGCTAGGCCCTAAGGGATGGGGAAGAATTCAGCAAATAGAGATTGTGCAAAAGGAAAAATGACCAGTATGTACAGAAGCCTGATGGCAAAGAAGCACAAACCTGAAGGTATTCATGATTAAGGCCCAGTCTTTTTCATGGTGGCCTTACAGAACACCCAGTAGCTATAGNGGACACCCAGAGACAAGACTTTTTCCAGACACCATTTTCTAATAGGGAGCAGTTACCCCTTCATATCATCAGGTTTAATTATCATGGATTTGGGACTTGGAAGAATAGAGACTAAAGCTGGCCATTGATTATTCAGGATAGCTGCGGGGAGAAAGGGTACAAAAAGGGTCTGCCGAGCAGTACTTCTTTGGGGTGGATCTTTTCTGGCCCAAATGAATTTGTGGTCCAGGTCAGAGCTACAAAGGCCTTAGAAACCAGCACAGAGTCTCCTCCATTTATCTTGATTTTCTCTTCCCATTCTCCTAAGTGTTCTCATCACATTCCAGAAATTGCCCCCAAATTGACCTTCTATAAAGTATCAAGCTGCTACTGAGAAGTTTGTTCTGGCTTATGTATTCCAGAATACAGAAAAAGTCAACTTCTCCTACAACAAACTGGCCGATCCTAAGTTTTCATTTTATGACAGGACTTTGGTGGAAGCAGTGAAAAAGGGAGATCACTGGGTACACTTATTTTTCCTCTCACTCTCATTGTGTCATACGGTGATGTCAGAAGAGAAAGTGGAAGGTGAGAAAGGGCCCGAGGCCTCATGATCTGAGAATATGTCATAGAGTCTAGGCTGGTTGGGTGAGAGTGTTTTAATATCATCTATAATGGCTTAATTTAAGAAAGAACTTCCTAACAGGAAGCGTTATCCAGCAATAGAATGGATAATCAAGATAAGTAGTGAGCTCCTAGTCACTGGAGATATTCATGCAGAAAACAACCTCTTGGTCTTAAAGAAGATTCAGTCATTGTATAGGGGTCAAACTTGCTGCTATCTAAGGGCCTCCTGATCTTGAGGCCCTGATGTCCTGTCATAGAGTACAACTGAATTGTTTCCCAGAATCAGCCCCACTATCTCTGACAAAACTTCCCTGAAGAATGAATTGAGTCACCCTTTTGTTATTTCACAGTTTAAGGGTATCCCCACATGTTCTAGTTTCTTTAGTAACCAAATATGACTATATCATCCCTGAATTTATCGAAGCCTTTTTTTTTAGAAACATTGAGAAATGACTGATTATAAATTAAGAAGACTTTTTTTTCTTAACAAACAAGAATTTAGGCAGACAAATAAATCACCCTTTAAAGTCAATGTACTCTTTATATACCATGTTTCCCCGAAAATAAGACCTAAGTAGAAAATAAGCCCTAGCATGATTTTTCAGGATGCTCATAATATAAGCCCTACCCCAAACATAAGCCCAGTTAAGATTGTCAGCCAGGCATGACTGTTTGAATAAATGTAGATTTTGTACATGAATAAATGTACATTGTTGGAGCAAAAATTAATATAAGGCCCTGTCTTATTTTCAGGAAAACATGGTAATACTACCATTAGTAACACCTTATATTTGTATATCATTTTACAGTTTTATAAATTGCTTTCATTTATATTATCACCCACAATCTTCACAACAGCCCTCTGAGGTAAGCAGAACAAGAAAAATTATCCTAGTTATGAAGGAAACTGAAGCTAAAAGAGATTAAATGACTTGCCTAAAATCCTTCAGCTAAGAATAGCAGAGATGATATAAGAACCCAAATTTCATGTCTCCTGGCCCTGTGAGCCCCTACCCCACCACAAGCCTCTCTGGGCCTGACATTCCAACAAGTTGCTATTACTTGAAGCATATTTGGACTTGTCTTTGTTTACTGGTTTGAATGACAAGGTAGGAAACACACAAAAAAATAGTCTTATTGTCCCAGAGATACATCTTGTGTCTGACCTGAAATTATACTCCCCCACCTACCTCATTCACAAATATAAGACTCTGATGATGCATAACTGTTTTTAGCAATAAATAGTCCTTCAAAAGAGAAATAATCCAAAATATACCTCAGGTTGTGGTGATATTCTAAAAGAAGAGCTCAAGAAGTGTCTTGAGTAATATAAAACTGAAAGACTGATTCAACAAAGTGAATCATTTAGCTTCCCAAGGTGAGAGTTTCAAAGGTGATAGTACTCATTCATATATATGTACTGAGTGTATATATATGTGTGTATATATATATATGGTTTATTAAACCATCAATATTATCTTACAGCAGTGTTTATTTAAAATTTGGACAGTCTTGTGCAGGGCAGCCTGAATGAGACTCACCCCGGAGATTTGTTAAAAATTCAATTTCTTGGGCCCTCCTCCCAGATTTTGTGATTCTGGAGTCAGTAGGTTTGGATAGGGCCAGGAACCTGCATTTTTGACAAGCTNTTGGGGGTGGAGCACCTTGGGAGCAGCCATGCCTGACCTCTGTAGTACAGGAGAGTGTGGAGGAGAGTGGAAGGGCCTAGGAAGATCCTGTCCGGAGAACCTTTTCGGGCAACCTGAGATGTGGGTGTGTCCTGGTGCTGCAGGCCTATGCTCTAGAAGGGAAGCTGGAGTTGGAACTGCTGCGAACAGCATGTATGTGCAAGGGAGTGATCTGCTGCCGGATGACACCCCTTCAGAAGGCCCAGGTGGTAGAGCTGGTGAAGAAGTACAAGAAGGCGGTGACACTGGCCATCGGGGATGGGGCCAATGACGTCAGCATGATCAAAGGCATGTGAGGGGTGGGGGCAGAGGCCCCAAGGCATGAGCTTGCCCTTTCCTTGCCCCATGGGCAAAACTGATCCGGGTGGCACTGCGTTGCTGGTTCACACTGCTGCATGTCATATGTATTGTACGATTTCATTCATATGTTTTGTGATTTCATTCATGCTCCTCTACACCTGCATTCCCATTTGTTTACACATGCGTACATCAGCCCATCTCCACAGGCATGCACACACATTTAGATTCATTCACTTAATACTCATACACACATAGGCACGCATGGCTCCCCCAAGAACTCATGCATATATTCATAGAACAACAGGCTGTGTCACTACCACACCATCTTTCTGAGATGGCATCAAAGTCCACAAAAAGGACCCCTGGGCAGAAGTCATAGTCTGTTCCTTTTTTGAAGGCTGTAGGCCTGAGCAAAGTTAGGTGGGAGACAGCGCTGCCCAACTAGGGAATTAGCTGTGAGGCCCAATGCAGGCAGTGTTCCCAGGAGCTTGCCTTGACTACCCTGGCTGGAGGAGAATAGCAGACTTACTGATGCTTCAGACCAATAGAAGCAAATGGCTGAAACTGGTTTTAATTTCAGCGGAATGTTGTTAGCCTCCAGCAACTTGTAGTTCTATGAGATATGGACAACATCTAGGGGTCCTCCAGTCCACCCCCTGTCTCCATACAGGAAACACTAGCAGATATTTCAGACTCAACCTCAGTACTAGGAAGTGTTCTTTCTTTCTTCCCCAGTTCCTAGAACTTCTCTGGTTTTTAGGGCCTTAGAGGGTTCAGTTATTCCATGAAGCAACGCAATTGGTATATGCCAGAAGATCGGTGAATTTGGCCTCCACTACAACAGACTAATTAAAAGTTATAGGAACTTCAGTCTTATCTTCCATCAAGTACAATTCTTGCTTTATCCAGAAAAAGTCACCTTAGGCCTCCTGAAGAACTTGTTTCTCACTAACAAAGTATGTACGTCACTTATTCCTCCCGACAGTTGGATTTTAGCTCCTTAGATAAACTTAGGTAATTAAATGTTGTGTTATATATTGACATCCATCCTGCATTTTTAATTGATTTACGTGGCTTCAGGAGATATCAAGAAATGTTTACCTCAGCATCTAGACACTAGGAAAGAGCCTAGATGGCTACAGTAGGTGCAGAAACAATCGAGCACAGCTTTCTGGAACTAGCCATGCCAGGCATTCTTGAGCAGCAGCATCCAAAACAAAGATGAGGGAGCTGTTTTCTGACTTGTAGGGGAGGGACAATCCACTAAGGAGACAAGGCTCCATCCACTAAGTAAGTGCCATTTTGAGCTAGGCCTAACAGTGTTTCCCAAATGTAAAATAAGGGGTTTGTACAACATGATCTCAGTCTTCCTTTTACACTTCCCAGGCTGGGAGCCCAGCAAACAAGGTCTGTGGCTAAGAAGTTTCTGGGATTTCTTTTGCAGCTGCCCACATTGGGGTCGGTATCAGCAGCCAGGAGGGAACGCAGGCCATGCTCAACAGTGACTTCAGCTTCTCCCAGTTCCAGTATCTTGAGCGTCTACTCTTGGTCCATGGCCGCTGGTCCTATAATCGCATGTGCAAGTTTCTCAGCTACTTCTTTTACAAAAACTTTGCCTTCACCCTGGTGCATTTCTGGTATTCCTTCTACAACGGGTTCTCTGCACAGGTAGGAGGTCAGGTGGCATTTCCCACTCTGGTCAGCTGGGTCTTGTTAGCCCCCACTTCAGCCAGCTGAGACCCTTTTTCTCCTCTAGAGACCAATGAAGGACATGCTGCCATCCATCCATAAAGCTCCTCACCCATGCTTATCCATCTCCCAACCCCACACTTAACCTTAGATTTCCAAACCCTAACTTTTCTGGCCTGACTATGACGTGGCTTTGACTCCTACCTTCAGAACTCTCCCATAAGATATTTTTACCTTTTCCCTCACATAGACACCTAGAGTTTCCAAACATAAGTAATTGAGGGAATTTCCTAGATCTGGGAGTTGGGTTTATTTGTTTGTTTGTTTGTTTTTTGTTTTTTGTTTTTAACTGAGCAGCCATCCTGCCACCTTTTGGCAGCTCAGCGGCAGCTCAGCTCGGGTGGGACTCGAACCGCTGTTGCTCAGAGCTTGCAGTCTTGAGCGAGCTCTTAACCAACTGACCACTATTCGGGCAGCCCTGTTTGTTTGTTTGTTTTAACATCCAAGGTAACCCTTATGGAACAGGCTAAACCTCAAGGGACCTCTAGGTTTTGACAGACAGGCTGGTTATGGCATTCACTTAGAGCCATTCTTGGAAACACAGCTACCCTTTACTTCTCCTTCCCCACCCCAACACACACTATTGTTGCTCCAATGAATTAATTCCACATTTTGAATATGAGATCTCCCCCACAATAGTGAGGAGAGGTGACACCTGGATTTTGATGTTCCACAAGGAGTCCCTTTTTTTATGAGAAGTTTTTCAGGAGTCTCTCAAAGATTCCCAAGAGAAACAACCTCAGGAATGATTCTCTTGGGAGATCCTTCCTACCTCTGTTGCCTTGGGCTCCAGGGGAAACAGACTGGTCAGCAGTCAGCAGAGAATAGAAGACTTACATACCCGCAGTGTCTAGCAAAGCCAGTCTGGTTTGTGGGAAGTGTGTGTGTGAGAGACAGAGAGAGAGATGACGACGATGACCACCTCTTGTGGTTAGTAAGGAAAGGAGCCCTTTCCAGGCTCCAGGATGGAGCACCCAGCTGGGGAAGGGTCACTGGGCCTATTCTGCTTGCCAGTGTTAGAAAGTGTCCAGGATTATAGAAGCTATTGAATGCCATAAAGCACATAAAGAAAATAGCCCAGAGGCTTACATGCCTGGGAGTGCAGGGGTATAGCTGGCATTCCTTAGCAGCCAGTCTGGATCCTTTCTGTGCAAGGAGGGGCAGTGCAGGTCATGGTAGGGTTGGTCCAAATCAACTTCGTAAGGTTTGCCACAAACAAGCTTGATGTGGCCTTGCCTCAACCAGGTCGCCAGCTCTACATAGAGTGGGACCAAACAGAGACTGAGGTCAGCCTTTTCAATCAGATTTCTGAAATTCAAATCCTGCCCTAGGCTAGTACAATGGTGGGTAGGTTGAGGGCAGAGGGGGCTCTCTTGGACCTGGGAGGTGGAGCTGGTACTTTATAGATGAGAGAAATCTAACAAATCTCCTTGGTATTCTTCCAGACAGTTTATGATACCTGGTTTATCACTTTCTACAACCTGGTCTACACCTCCCTCCCTATCCTGGGCTTGAGTCTATTTGACCAGGTAAGACCATCAGCAAGCCTCTTAGTCAGGGTTGAAGCCCCTGGGCCCTTGAGGAATATTCCCCAGAGTGAGGAGGCTAGCAAGAGCTGAGCTCTATAAAGTCAAGTGTAAATGGAATGACATCTAGAGCAAGGAAGGGAGCTCATCACCTGGAGAGGTATCATGGGATACAGTAAAGAATCCTCCTCCACAGAGAATAATCATCAGTTTTAGAAATCCATTTTTTCCTGCGTCAGTTTTTTCTGTAGAGAGAAACATGGAAATTGTGCTGTACAGTACGTTGTGTACAAAAGTACTGAAAGGAAATAGAGCTATGGGGGCAGGTCTAGGTGAAGCACAGGGTTTCAAAAAGGGAGAGACCCAGACAGAGCTAATGAGATAAACCAATAGTGGGAGGCCAAGGTGGGGGTCCTGAAGATCAAGCATGGGAGTATGGGGATGATACTTTGAATCATAGGGAATCAGCCTAGGGGAGCCATCTGTCCCTGTCAGACATTTCCTGGGTTTTGAGTGTCCTGGTGCCTACCTCTCCCTCCCCTTCTATCCCAACCTCCAGTCATGGGCACATGGAATAGAGAAGGAGCCTCCAAAGGGGAATAAAGTAGCTAAAACAGGACATCATAGGATCATGGTTCCTTGCCTCCATCAGGGAAGCAAGGAAAATTCTCCATGAAGTAGCTGCCAGCCTCAGACAGCAAGAGGGATAAGTTGTGTCACTCAACAGCCCTAACCAGCTTCGATGGTCTAATTCTAGGGATCTACAACTTCTCAAAACAAGCCCCAAGCTTTGTTATCCAGAGTTTCATGTTTAGGAGATGAAGATGATCCAATCTCATCCACATAGAGAATCCTCTTACCTGAGTTCACCAGTAGCTATGGGAACGGGAGGAGTATCACAGAACATGAATACCTACAAGGGACTCACTGGTCCCCATTGGCTTCCCCCTCTCCTCCCACTGGCTTTTGACACAAAGAATATTCAACTGAAGAAACACTTAAAACTGGGGACTGCTTCCACCCCTACCCCAAGCTCCAGTCCTCCCTTCCAGCTATCCCCAGTCCTAATTGCCCCCTTTCTTAAGTCCCAAATCCTAACTGCCTCCAGGTTCTTCCCACCATCTTCACCTTCTCCTAGCTTTCTTCCACTACCCAGATGCTTGCCTAGAGAGTAGAACTTCAGGAAGGGTCTGTGGTCACTGCTCTGTGCTCTGGTTCCACTTCTCAAGTAATCCATGAGGAAGCTCCTAGGCAGCCTGGCAACAGACTCAGTGAGGGGAGAAGCCTGTACTCTGATGGAGCTGGGACCTTCTGAACCTTCCTCCTTGTGGTGTTTCCAGGATGTGAATGAAACATGGAGCCTACATTTCCCAGAGCTGTATGAGCCAGGCCAGCACAACCTCTATTTCAACAAGAAGGAATTTGTGAAGTGTTTAGTGCATGGGATCTACAGTTCCTTCGTGCTGTTCTTTGTCCCCATGGGGACCATTTGCAACTCAGTGCGAAGTGATGGGAAGGAAATCTCCGACTACCAGTCCTTCTCCATGATAGTGCAGATCTCCTTGCTTTGGGTGGTCACAATGCAGGTGTGGCTAGTGGTGGGGGGGGGTAAGGGGGTTGAGTGGGGAGATTGTCTGGAAGAGAGGGAGGGAAGGAAGAAGGGAGGGTGGGGAGGGAACATCTTCCATTAGACAGTTGGAGAAAGGAGGTGGCTGATAGGTCCCAGGTTATAGAGTATAGCACATAATAGGGTGCTTTTCAGATTGCCCTGGAGACAACCTACTGGACTGTGATAAGCCACTTCTTCACCTGGGGTAGCCTGGGCTTCTACTTTTTCATCGTAAACTTCCTGTACAGTGATGGCTTGTGCTTAATGTTCCCCAACGTCTTCCAATTCCTAGGTAAGGCCCCTCTCTGTGTGTGGCAAGGGAGTGGGGAGTGGAGGTGGGGAATGTGAGCCAAATATATTTGTTTAGTAAATGTTTATGGAGCAGCTATTACTATGTGCTAGGCTCTGTGGATAGAGATATGAACAAGACATGGTCTTTGGCCTAAAAGGACTCAAAATTTAGCTAGGGGAAATATTTTACCTTATAGAGTTTCTTAGGTAGTTTCAAATTTCTTATCTAATTTAATTTTTACAAGCATTCTCTGAGGTAGGCAGTGCAAGAATTATTAGCACCATTTTAGAGACTGGAGGTTTTTAACATTTTAATTACTCAAATCTAGGTCTCCTGGTTCCCAGTCCAATATTCTTCCTACTGTAGCATACTGCCTTACTGTCTCCCATATTGAGTTCCCTATCTCTCATCTCCATTCTGATGAGGACAAAATACAGAGAGAGTACATATGTAGGTGTAGCTGGCCCCCACCTGTTGTCAAGCCACTCATTTCTCCCCTCCAAAGTCCTCTAGCCCATTTTTGTGTCCAGACCAAGGCTCTAGGATCCCTCTAACCTACCCGCACCTCTCCTGTCCTGCCCCGCCTTTAGAGGGAGACAAAGGTATGTGAATTCACAGCGACGTTGGCTGTACAAAGGATCTCACTGCAATACTTCTGCATTTACTTTTTTCTCAAGAGACTAACCTGTCTCCAAATCAATAACTTCCTTCTTTGGACTGAAGAGGTATCTAAATTCTGGCTGACAGCCCCCTTCCTCCAGGCTCTGGTTCAGCCTTTCCCCTCCTGGCTCATTGTTTACAGGTGTGGCAAGGAACACTCTGAGCCTGCCACTGTTGTGGCTGAGTGTTGCCCTCAGCATGGTCCTCTGTATTTTGCCTGCCGTTGGGTACCAGTTTCTCAAACCACTATTCTGCTCCTTGACTGTGGACAAGGTGAGTGGAACAGGGAATCTACCCCAGATATAATTCAATTCATGACCTTCTTTGCCTTTGCCTCTGTGAATAAAAATCCTGTCCCCATGCTCTGGCTATAGGTGATTGACAGAATTCGTCGCATGAAACACCCACTGCCACCCCCATCCCAGACTAAACTGAAACAGTCAAGCACGCCACGTTCTGCCTATGCATTCTCCCACAAACAGGGCTTTGGGTCCCTCATCACTTCCGGCAAGTTTATGAGATCCAAGAAAAGACTGCTTTCCTTTCAAAAGTAGAAGCCATTAGGTAAACCCCAAAGGAGCCAGCCATTGCTTTTCCTCCCTCGTATTCACCTAACTTAGTAAGGAGGGCTTCGAGTCCCTGCTCTTCCGCTCTCCCTCCAGGGGCTCAGCTTCTTCATTCCCTGAAAGGCTGTGCCCATGTCAGGCAAGGAACAGTGAAGCAGGAGCTCCCAGATATCTGTCAGGGTTACAGCATTTCAAGAAAAAGCAATGCCGGGCCTCCTTCCCACCAACCCTTCTAAGTTTAACCCAGACCAGCAAATGTGGAAGGAAGTGGAGGGTGAACAGGGGCAGCGTGGGGAAGGGAAAAGAAAATAGGACCTACGAATCTTACTCTGGGCCCTGTTTCTCATGCCCAGAGCAACCATAAACCTGGCCAGAGCCCCACACATAGTCCCACCCAGGCACCCTTCTCAGGTTTATTTGGGGGATTCAGGGTACGTCTTTTGCTGGCTGTGGGTAGCAAAAGAAGGGGACAGCTGTGAAAAGTTGGTCATAAGAAGCTGAAGGAGAGTTTCTGAACAAAAAAACAAACAAACATAAAAAGATGAACAAAGGAGGCAATTCCTGCCTTAAGGACAGCGCAAGACTTTGCCTTCTTTCCCTTTTAATGCCTTTGACCCAAGAACTGACACCTTCTTGGGCCTCAGAACTTGGAGGGGGAGACTGCTGTGGAGTTTTAAAAATCTTTTCTTGAGGAGACATAATTGGTGAACATTTGTCTTCATTCCATAAAACTATTTTGAGAAGAAATTGTATGTACTTGGGAAATTATTTCTGAGAAGTTTATGGAGTAATAAATGACTTATTTTGGAGTGGAGAGATTTGTATGGTCTATCGGCCCCAGCGACGATAACATATTCCAAACAAGGTCATTGTCTCACAGACCGTCCCCCTTCAAATTAAATCAGTATCTCCCCTTCCCGCTTTTTCTTCCCTTTTTGAAAGCTCCATGCCACTTTTCTGCCCCCTGCTGCTAAACTCTATATTCACCTTACTATGATCACATCTTTTAACCATATAGCAGCTCTGTCCTCTTTGCACACCTTAAATATCGGTTCTCAAAGCTCAGTACTAGGTTCTCTGCTCATCTTTCTCTGTACACTTTTCCTGAGTGACTTAATCTAAACTCATGACTTCATGTATCAACAAAAAGAAGATTCTCAATTCTCACGCTATCCTAGATCTCTCTTCTGAAATTCAGTTCTATTTATTAAACTGATTCTGAGACACTTCACTTAGTTGAATCTCAGGAAACTCACACTCAACCCACCAACCTGTACTTACCATTTTCTCCCAAAATTTCATCTCAGGATGCCACCACCATCATTCCAGCCACCCAAGGCAGACTGATAGGAACCATCCTATAGTCTTTCTCTAGTCTGATATCTATTAAGTCATCAAGGAATGTAAATTCTGCATCTTTATTATGTCTTGTTTTCAGTTCCCTCCATCATTACTGCCATTGCCATTGTTCAGACTTTGATTGTCTCTCACATGGATTACTGCATAAAGTCTCCCAATGCATCTTCCTGGTTTCCTCCTATTCAAAGTATCACCAATACTACTTCCAGAGTAATCTGTATAAAAAGCAAATTTGATCATGTCAAGCCCAACTTTGTATCCTTTAAGGGCTTCCCATGCCTTCTGGATCAAGTTAAAACGTGAATACTTTATTATTGGACCCTCAATAGCCTTGTTTTTCACTGCTCCCCCGTTCCTCATTCACTCCAGTCATGCTATTTCTGGTCTTCATGCCATCAGATGTGCTGTTCTCATGTCCCAAAATGCTTTCCCTCAACCCTCACCCCTTCTTCATCTAGCAAACTTCTAGTCACCCTTCAAAACTCGGAATAGTAAGAACTAGATAGAGGTGATGGTTAAACAACATTGTGAATGTACTAGATGCCACTGAATTGTATGCTTTAAAATGGTTAATTTTATGTGAATTTCACCTTGATTTTTTTTAAAAAAGCTCAGATTAGGCATTGTCTCCCCAGGACCTTTCCCTAATTCCTCAATGTGACTTCTATACCTGCCCTGCTTACTCAGTTGCTCCCCTGTGCGTGCCCCTACCAGTGACACTTTTCACAGGGCATTTTAATCATTGGTCTATTCATAGCATATCATGGGCCTTTCATAAATGCCTGTTGAATGAATGAACAAATGAAAGAATTGAAATCTGCTACTCTGCCTATTTTTCTTATTTCCCTAAATAAATACAGACCATCACCCAATAAATAGCTCAAGCCAGAAACCCGGAAGTCTTGCTGGACTCCTCGCTTCCATTCCTCTAATCTAGTCCATTCTGTTACCAAGTTTCATTTACTCGTTTTATAGTTGTCTTCAAATCTTCCCCTTCCTACCTATCCCAGTCCCATTGCTTTCCTCATTTCTTGCCTGGATTATGCAACATCCTACTCTCTGGCCTCCCTGCCTTGGATTCTGCTTCTTTCCAATCCATTATCCACACCACAGAGAATGACCTTTCAAAAGTACAAATCAGATCATGGCATTTGCCAGTTTAAAATGCTTTAGTGACTCATCATACCTTCCCTACCTTGAAGCTGCCTACCTCTCCAGTTTCATCACCATTTCTTGCTGCATAGACCTCATTTCTGCATTCCAAACTATTTGCAATTCCTCAAAGTTTCCATTATCTTCAGAAGCCTTTACTCCTTGGCTCTTTCTATTCTCTCTTCTTGTAGAATACACTTCCCTCCTTTGTCTAGCTAATGTCTATCTGCTCTTCACTCTCAGCTTTGGTCGCTTCCTCTGGGAGCCTTCAGTGACACCCAAGTTTCTGTTCTTGTTGGGGGTCTCTTCCTGGCACGAGACCACCTCGTACATTTCTCTTACTTTCAGGTCCCTTGAGTTGAATGTATTATCACTCACTCTCCTGTTTTAATTGTGGTTTACTTCTCTGTCTTCTCTGCTAAGCCATGATGATCTCCCTGAGGACAAGAACTTTGGTTCATTTTTGTATTTCTATCACCCGGCAGACTGCTAGTACTTAGATTACTAATGTTTTTCAATAAATGAGTAAATGAATGAAATCTACTACTGCCTTTTGTTTGTCCTGAACTTGCCTCTTGCCCTGTCCTTTCAAAGTGAATCTTAACCTTTGGTATCTAGTTTTCAGTCATACTTCAGGGGCCCCTTTTTATAAAACATGGTCACCACTCATGGTCTCTCATCTAAAGCGTTTGTAAAAATACAATTTGAACTAATAAGACCCCCCCCCAACGCCCCTGAACAATCAGCATCCTCTCCCTGGTGGTTTATATGCATCTTGGGAGATTTGAGTCTCCATCTCTGCTGAGGATCCAAGACAGCAGATGCCTGCCACATTCCAAAGTGAGGTGTGAGATGACTTGCAAAACAGGGAGTGTGAAAAACAAGTTTGCAACTCTTTTTTTTTTATTAGTTTATTGGGGTGACAATGGTCAACAAAACTACATAGGTTTCAAGCATACAATTCTATAATACATCATCTATATACTGCATTATGTGTTCACCACCCAGAGTCAGTTCTTCCATCACCTCACTCACCTTGAGAAAAGGGCCAGAAATTCAGACATTGGAAAGGGATCTTTAGAGAGAATTGCTTGTGGGCTTTGATTCCCCCCTGCCCAGTTCAGTTCAAGTTGAGAGGGTTTTAAGGAAATTACTTGGAGAGATTTATATGATTAATGTGTCTGGGGGACACAGAAAGCTTATACCTGACTCATAACTAGAAAAATCTAAAAAGCAAGAGAACAAGAGAACAGTTAACTATCTGTTCTTTGGCAAAGCAAGACAGGGTGGCTGTGGTGAGATTGGCCTGTGCTCCCAGTGTTTTGCAGGACAAGGGATGCATGGTGCTCCCCATAGACCAGATATGGGCCATGTAAGAGACCAAGCGGACTTTATCTTGTCAGACATACCATCTGAAAGGTTGAGAAAACCTCAGCAGAAGGGACCAGAGATATGCTGTCAAATGCCTACAGATTTCTAATCAGATAGAAGGTTGCCTGAGGGTGGGATTGATTGCCTATAAAGGGGTATGAGGTAAATTTTTTATGTCTTGATTTTTGAGGTGGTTACAGGGGTGTACACATTTTTTTTTTGGTCAAAACTTATCAAACTATACATTTAAGACCTGTGCACTTTATTGTATGTAAATTTACTTCAGTAAATTTTGTAGATGCCTGGAGATTTCTAAAGGAGTTATGAGTGACCAACTAGAGGCGGAGCTGAATTCACCCACATTAAAGTAACTAGGTATAGGAGAAGTATCTCCACCAACAGGGAGGGAAGCTCTGAAAAACCTACAAAAGGGCTCCTTGAGAAAGAGTCAGCTTTAGGTGCTGCCAAGCACTAAAATTAGCTTGTGACAGTATTAGTTGAGTAAGAACCTCCCTCAGCCTTTCTCCCTCCACCCTGCTCAAACCCTGGAGAAAGAGGGTTAGCAAGCTAGGGATAGACGAGATAGTAGGAAAAGATAGACATCTACTAAACCCTATCCCCACTTTTTTTTCTTTTTGAAGATTTTTATTGGGGAATTGGGGGATGGGAACAGTGCTGGGGAATTGGGGGAAGGGGAACAGACAAGTTGCTGTCCTTTTTGTTCTTCAGTCTAGTTGTGGAGGACATTGCTTCACTGGCCCAAGTTGGCACCATCATTGCGCTCTTCCAGGGCGAGGCAGATCAGTCGCTGGCTTCTGGGCGGCTGCTCACAGCAGCTGCTGGCCGCTCACGGCTCACGCTGGCTGCTGGCCGCTCACGCTGGCTGCTGGCCACACACGGTAGCCCATGGCAACCCACTGCAACAGGGGCTGCAGCCTACGCTGTTGCCGGCGACTCATGGCAGCCCAGCTCCAGGTTGAGCTGTTGTTCAGCATCTTAGCTGTGGAGGGCAGTGTCACTGGCCCTCTTAGCTGTGGAGGGCAGTGTCACTGGCCCTCATATGTGGGATCCGAACCGGGGCCCTCTGGCGTCCCAAGCCAGCTCTTAACCATCGCGCCACTTGGCCGGCCCAGCCCTATCCCCATTTCCCACTGAACATGGTCATTTGCAATAGGGCTAAGCTGAGAAATGCAAAAAGCCTTAATTTTGAAGTGCGAAGTTTAAGAATTATTTTATTAGTCTGGACACCTTAATTAGTAAAGTTTCATTCCAGGAGAGAGCCCCATGAGGGGCTTTCTGAAGTTGGATTCAGTGAGGAAATTTTTCTACTTGAACTAGATTGAATAACTGCCAATAGCAAAAAAGACCTCGAGGTAATTCCAGTTTACATGCGCCATGTTTACACCTGTTCCTCATCTACAGCCTCTCGGAAACAGGGAGAGGTCACAGGACCATCTGGTTCACCCTGTACCTTTTTCTTTAAGAATTTGTGAGAGAAACAAAGCAACAAAGAAACATTGTTCTAGCCCCCAGCATTTCCCTGTGATTCCAGCCCCAAATCTTCTAAGATACATGCAAAGAGTTTTGAAGAAAACTCAGCATTTGGAGAATCCTGGGAGTCATCCTGGACTATTTGCTCTATTCTATCTCCACCTCCAATGATACATTTAATTAAGTCTTATAGCTTCTACACCTTAAATCTCTCTTGAATCTATCTCCTCCAATCTAACCCTTCAGCCAGTGCCCTGAGACCCTCTCACTTCTCATTATCAGAGTCTCCGAATTGATCTCCTTACCTTCCTCTAATTCAATATTCACACTCCCAAATAGAGTGAGATTTCTAAAGTGCAAATCTGTTCAAATACTGATTATAATGCAAAATGTTTCTGTCTGTAACAATGCAAATGATTCCTGTTCCTGGTTATGCAAATT